GGGTAAATGATGATGTGAATAGGTCCTTGGTGTGAGGCTGCTAGCAAGCTGTATCCACCCTGAAGGTTAATCTTGGACAATATCTGACGATTGTCTCTTTTAAATGAAACCAGAGAGCGTTGACAGAGAGGAGAAGGTAGAAATGATTCAGTCTACAACTGAAAATATGGATGGAGGACAACAGAGCTGCTTCATGGAAGAAGAACCTCAGCTTAGCCTGTTAGCCTTTGTGCTAGCACAGACGTTATATTGCCCTATATGTATTAGCTCGGCGCTAGTGCAACAAACAAACAAGCTAAACTGAGGTCCTCCATCTATATTTTCAGTTACAGGCTGAGTCATTTCTACCTTCTCCTCTCTGTCAACGCTCTCTGGTTTCATTTAAAAGAGACAATCGTCAGATATTGTCCAAGATTAACCTTCAGGGTGGATATAGCTCCCTAGCAGCCTTCTAGTAGGACCTATCCATGTCATCATTTACCCAGAATGCTTTGCATGTAAATAAAATGGCCCCATCCGTGTAATATATTTTTAAACTTTTAGTTTAAAAATTATAAAAACTAAACATCCTACAGTATTTTTACAGTCTTTATTTTACAGTTAAAATCTATGTTTATTAAATAAAGTCTAATGTTACAACTAATCATGGATCCCTTTAATAAAAAAAACATGCTTTCTGCACTGTCTGCAGTACAGCTCAGAGGGAGGGGGCGCTTGCATCACATCCCTCTGAAGGTGCTCTCAGTTTACCTGAGCGCTGAATCTGTGAACATCATCGGAGGCGCTGAATAGCTCAGCCGAGGACAGGGAGGAGGAATGGCTACGGGACTGCACGACAGAGAAATGTTCGAAAGAAGCGAATGAAGAACAAAAACGGAAAGAAGCCCCAAAAAAATCACAACMGGGCGAGGCAGCACTTCGTGTGGAAGAGGTTATGAAATCTTTCAAAAACTGCAGAAATCACAGACTTGATTTAATGTGTGTAAAACAATGAAGTGAGGTCACGTTCAAGAAGATGGTGTTACAGATTACACTAGTGAGTCGGTTCGCTGAACACGGGACGGTAATGTAAACAAACAAAAAATAAAGACAACTAGGAGGATTGTTTGAGGATGGAAGTAAAGTTCATCATAATAGGAAAATAGGAAAGTTGCAGCTTACCTTGCTAACAAATCGGTGCGTACCGATGGTGGAAAAGACGTCACTAGAAGGAACCTGAGCGAGGTGATGTGTCCTGACCTTCTCAGACTGGCACTGCAGGAAGAAGATGCACATTTTAGTTTATATTTTTAAATAGGAAAACAGAAGAGGGAGATAAAGGACTACAAGAGGCCTAATGTGCTTTCTGGACAAATTTAACTGTTATATATTAGAGCTACAGCTCTAATATAAAACTGTAAATAAAACCACAGGTGGTAGACACACGGTAAACCCAAGACTCCTCCATTTACTGGTAAATGAGTACCCAAAAGGTCCACTTTCAGAGGCTAAAGGGCAGACAGATAGAACTGTTGAGTTTTGTTTTGTTAAACAGTTCTCATCTCTTTATCCTACCTGTTCCTCTATCTTATCTTGTCGGTCCAGCGCTGCCTCCACCGCATCAAAGAATTCATCCTCATTAATCAGACTGTTGGGCCCCTCCTGTAAAATCCAACGTCACGAGGGGTCAGAAGTGTACGCATCTTTTAAAGGGATCCATGATTAGTTGTAACATTAGACTTCATTTGATAAACGTATACTTTAAACTTTATTTTAAAGACTGTAAAAATAATGTAGGCTGTTTAGTTTTTATCATTTTTAAACTAAAAGTTTAAAAATATATTACACAGACGGGGCCACTTTATTTACACACAAAGCATTCTGGGTAAATGATGACGTGGATAGGTCAYCRGTGCGAGGCTGCTAGCGAGCTATATCCACCCTGAAGGTTAATCTTGGGCAATATCTGATGATCGATACTTTTAAATGAAACCAGAGAGCGTTGGAGAGGAGAAGGTAGAAATGACTCAGTCTGTAACTGAAAATATGGATGGAGGACAACAGAGCTGCTTCGTGGAAAGAAGAACCTCAGCTTAGCCTGTTAGCTTTAGCGTTAGCCCCGATGCTATCACCATATATGTATTAGCTCAGTGCTACACATTCTCCTCTCGTCACCGAGGTCCTCCATCCACATGACAGAGAGGGGAACRCAAAAATGACTCAGCCTGCAACTGAAAATATAGATGGATGACCTCAGTACAGCTTGTTTGTTGCGCTAGTGCCGAGCTAATACATATAAGGCAATATAGCGTCGGCGCTAGCACAAAGGCTAACAGGCTAAGCTGTTCTTCTTCCATGAAGCAGCTCTGTTGTCCTCCATCCATATTTTCAGTTACAGGCTGAGTCATTTCTACCTTCTCCTCTCTGTCAACGCTCTCTGGTTTCATTTAAAAGAGTCAATCATCAGATATTGTCCAAGATTAACCTTCAGCGTGGATATAGCTCGCTCACACCGAGGACCTATCCACGTCACCATTTACTCGGAACGCTTTGTGTTTAAAGAAAATGGCTCTGTCCGTGTTAAAATATATATTTAAAAATGTACAAAACTAAACAGCCTACAGTATTTTTACAGTCTTTATTTTACAGTTAAAATAAATGTTTATCAAATAAAGTCTAATGTTACAACTAATCGTGGATCCTTTTAAAGAAGGTCTAACGTGCAGAAAAGTGTGCAGAAAGATTTAACGCTGATAAATCTGTTGGTATTTATTTTCTTTTTAAATCATCAAGCCATTTCAAAACAACTGGTCTTATCTCATCGTGCCTCGTAATCCGGGCCGCCATAGTGTGACTTTTTCTTCAGTTCATTCATTGCAGACTTGTAAGCATCCTCTACCCTCCTCCTCTTCTCCAGTTCCTGCACACACAGACAGAGGAATCTCAGCGCAATCCTGAAGATTAAAATTATTTCTCATCAGCACTCAGAAGCAGATTTGGCTTCTCAGATGACAGATAAGACTTAAGTTGACAAAAACAAAAAAAAAAAGGGGGGGGGGTCTGCTAGGCTGAAATTCAGGTAAACAACATCATTTAGTTGTGTTTACATTCAAACTGGTTTTCCCAACAAATTACTACTTTTAAGAAAATGAATAGTTTTTAAGGCACTGGGCCTCCTTTAATAACTAAAAAGGACAGTGTTTTGATTTCTTCTGAACGATGATGCCAAATCTGTTAAATAGTTCAATCACATGTCCAGCAAAAAAAAAAAAAAAACGTACATTGTAATAGGAAATAATTCAATGAACCCAGGCAAAACTAGACGGTGAACAAGGACAAAAGGAGACATTTGACACCTGTAAGAAAACAAACGAGGTGATCCAGGTTTCAGCTGTGTGCACGAACAGAACCGACAGACAGAGACCTACTGTTACGTGAAGTGAAGAGTGTGTCTGTAAAGGTATCCATCTCTGCTTCTGATGTTTGAGCAGCTCCGTGCTCCGCTGAATCGAAGGCTTCCACCAGGACAACCGCGACGTCCGAGCAGACATTTTCTAAAGATTCCTATCTGTACACACCTGCGGTGTGGTTTGATAATAAATGAGATTTGTTCCTAYTCTTTTCCCTCTCTCTTCTCTAGATTGACATTTCCAGGTACAATCAAGTATTTCGAGCTAGTTTCACTGAACTGGAGTCTCAGTGAAAATACTTCCCGGCTTTTGTGTGTTTTAGGGTTGGGTGACACGCCTTTTTCACACACAGCTGAAGGAGAAAAAAAAACTGGTTTGACAACATCAGCTAAGCAAGAACCGCCCTGGAAAGCTCACAATGAAGGAATCTGATTGGATCAGGTCACACGCAGATTAAAGAACAGAACAATTCATAAGCAACACTCATCCAATTACTTTGAATGCTTTCTAAATATTAGGTAATAAGAAGTTTTAAAGCTTTTTCAGCCCATTCTCTTTTTGCAATGGATGACTTAAATTTACAGCAGAACATTTTTAACTAATTCTCTTGTCAAAGTTATTTGTTAATTAAGGAACAATACAAAGTAATTTTAAAATGCATCCGAATATGTATTTTATATTCTAAGTATATGACAAAACTTATCAAAAGAAAATTTTATTCAAACTTAGACAATTCACAAAAGGTTAAAAACCTGAAACAAAGTTTATTTTCAAATACAATCCCATCCTCTGACAGCACATAAACTCAGTCACGCTTCCACACGCAGAGGTGTTCAACATATTCTTCATAAACTTTTATTTCATACCTTGTCAAGTCTCTTCTGCCAGCTGTCCTCTCGTTTGACCATCAGCTCGATGCAGTGAGACAAAGTGGACAGGATGCCCGCGGTGGTGGCCTTGAAGGTGATGGCCTCACCCTTAAAGTCGATCCCGTTAATAACTTTGGGACTGGCAGGAGAAGACACTGGGACAGACACGGGTGATAATTATAACTAAACCGAACAGCTGCATTTTTATTTAAAATTAAATAAACCAATAAAAAAAAAACAATATTTTCTTTTGAAAACTAAAAACATTCTCAGTAACTGAAGAATGCTTAAATTCTTAGAAATAATTTTAAATGTAAACACAGTTCTGTGAGAAAGTATTTGCCCCTTGTAGACTTTGGTTTAGCTTATTTTTGTCACAAACTCAATACTTTAGAGCAAACAAACAATATCAGACAAAGATAATGCGAGTAAAAAGAAAATGTCATTTTCAAATGATGAGTTAAGAAACAAAAGCTATCAAAACCAACCTGGTCCTGTGATTAAATTAAAATTAAGCTCAGGAACATTTGGGTTTCACAGCAGGAGCAGAAAAAACCCTCCACAGCCTCATGACAGACATCACAACTTACTGCAAACAGTTAATATGCCAGTAAGGGGGCATTTACTTTTTCCTGGTTAGTTTGGATAACTTTTTCCCATAATATATGAAATGGTTTAAAAAAAATAATAATTCTGTATTTACTCTTATTATCTTTGTCTGATAACATTTGTTTGAATTGCATTTTTATTTATTTAGAAGGGACAATGCACATTAAATCAACATTTCTGTAAATGTGCCAGAGTTAGCCACAGGCTAATTTTCATCTGTTGTCCCTGGACTTGCTATAAACAAAATAGTTATACAAAAGATAAAATAACAATAAAATACAATCAATACAAATCGCACAAAAGAAAGACACATTTTTATACAAAACATGAGCATCATTAAAACTAATATAAACCTTCATCAAGATGGCTAAAACACAAGTGGTCACATGGTGGGACTAGGCAAAGCAGTTAAAYAAAATGTTGACAGATCTGTTRTGTTATAAAGCAAGCCTTCAACTGTTTTTTAAATAGATTATATGTGGTAAAAGCTTTGATTGACTGAGGGACAGAGTTCCAGTCCTGAGCAGCTGTAACTGAAAAAGTACTTTGACTAAAAGTGATTTTCCGGAGAGGAACAATACAGTCTGCACGGATCGCCCCTCTTGTTAATCGATATGAGTTATTCCTTATATTTATAAACTGAGAAAGGGGTAGAGATGACAGAGCTTTAACAATTTTGCATAACAAACAGAGATTTGAGTATTTAATAAAATTTTCTCAAGTTAAAAAAACGTGTTTTTCTAAAATATTGCAGTGGTGATATCTTAATGGTTTTTTGTCTAATATTTTAATTGTCTCAAAAAGAAAAAATAATCAGGTCTTCTGGATGGGTTCTTCTTTAGTGAAACGTTTCGTCTCTCGTCCAAGAGACTTCTTCAGTCTGAYGAGTTTCAGGTGAACTCAGCCTTTAGGTTTGTTTATACTTCATGCAAGACGTGTGGCTGCGGCCCAGCGATGACGTAACTGCGTGTGTGTCACCGACAGCATTCAGTGTTTATACTGGGAAAAGACGTAGGGGATACATTATAGTAATCCCTCCCTCGGCCCTCCCACCGCATACATCACGTGCATAGCTTAGCATGTAAATAACTGCTAGTTCAAAAAAAAACCTGCTAGTTGTGAGTTTAGCTTGTTGGTTCAACAGATGCGGGAGATGGATGATGAAAAACACTTTTCCTATTTTCAAATGTCCGCTGCTCGTTTTGACGAACTTGCCCACCAGATCTCCCCTCACCTTCAGCACGCAGCGGCGCAGTAGAGGAGTCACAGATGGTTGTACCTCTGAACCGCCTCGGTGAGTTTCTCTTTGAAACTATCCATGTTTAGAAACAAAAACCAGCCTCTGGAAGCAATTAGCAGGTAGCGGTGTCACACAGCACAAAAACGCCCACAAACTTTGAACCAATCACAGGATCCGCACCGCATCCTCTGCGTCTCGGAGTGCTGACTGGGGGTAATGTATAAGACAGCTGTCACCGGGGGATCGCAGCAGGAGTGCAGACGGAAAGTGCGCAACTTTTTTTCACTCAGCTGGGTGTAAAAGACGTGCGACAAGAAGTATAAACCATCTTTTAAAAGCACTGCCTCCACGTGGTGGATAAAGAGGTCAGTCACATGCAAAAGAGGGCCATCGCTTAACAATAGGCTTGATTAGCTCTATTGTTCATAGAGGGTCATGTGCCCCATCACCTGACTTATTGGTTTGGATGCTGTGGTTCTTAGGTGTCGAGTCATGTGTATGTAGTGAACGCAGGCGGGGCTCAATGTCCCCTTGTTTTTGTTTTTTCCCTCTTTGTGTTGGTATCGTTGGCCCCCTGATTCACACCTTTTGCTCACAGGGGGCTGAGTCATACTGGCAATAACAGCATTGTAGGAGGAGGACAACTGGACACGAAGGCCTCCACCTCTGTTTAATGGTGGATGGTTTTTCTTCACAAAGATGGCTTCCTTTACTCCTCTCTCAAACCAACGTTCCTCTCTATCAAGAATGAGAACATCTTCATCCCTGAAAGAGTGACCGCTGGCCTGTAGATGAGTGTAAACTGCAGAGTCCTGACCCGACGAAGTGGCTCGTCTATACTGGCTCATTCTTTTGAACAGTGGCTGTTTTGTTTCCCCTGTTTTTAAGGCCGAGTTCACCTGAAACTCATCAGACTGAAGAAGTCTCTTGGAGGAGAGATGAAACGTTTCACTAAAGAAGAACCCGTCCAGAGGACCTAATTATTTTTTCTTTTTGATTTTTTTCTACCTGGATTACTGAGATGCATCAGGACATTTTAATTGTCTGTTTGTATAAAGACCATATGGGTTTTAATGACGTTTTATTTGCTGGAGACCATGTTGTGAAACAGTATGTTATGCGTGACAAAAACACATGCATGCATGTTTGATGATGTGAAACTCATAAGAAACCTGTTAAGTGGCCAAAAACTGTTCTTCACCGAACTCTAAATGCTCCCACATACTCGTGCGTACGGTGTGCGGTCCATGAGCTGCGTGGACTCCGCTCATATTGTCCATGGATGTTTGAGACTTCATACTCGATAGGGATGCACGATATATCGGCACTAATATCGATGTCTGCCGATATTGGTCATTTTTTAGAATATCGTATCGGTCCGATATGTAAAACTGGGCAGATATTGCAGTCCGATGTTGATTTCCCACTTTTTAGCTTTGTGTTTGTTTTGGGAGGGGAGATGTTTGGTTGAGTAGCATCTGTTTGACCATAATAGTGATATTGATTCTGCATAGTCAGGAAAAACTGAAGCAGGGATCCATGTAAGAGGTCTGGTTGTTTTACGGTATCAAAAAAGTGTGTTTGTGCGTATATGCATAATATGATTTGTGAGTTTGTGTAATATCGGTAAATATTGGTTATAGGCCATAACAGCAATAATTATATCGGATATCGATATCGGTTGAAATTTTCATATCGGTGCATCCCTAATTTTCAAGTGTACTGACCGCCTGACAAATTCTTTAATTTCTCACAATTTCAGTCATGATGTCAAGGATCAGGAGGAAGAGATAGTTTGCATTTTAGCTTTAAAACAACAAAAGAAAAAAAGAAGAGAACTACCTTACCTAGGATCTGAGCTATTTCCTCCCATGAATTTGTTGCTCGCTGAAAGTCCTTATATTCCTTCAATGATGCATCATAAAAGTTTTCTAATCTCCTCCATGAGACACTCTTTGGATTTTGAATGCATTTCATCCACAAATGATACCAATTCTAAACTTTATCAGCTTGGTGTCGCATCCAAAACAGTTCGACGTGAACTCATCGGGCAGTTTATTGTGTGACACCGCGGTCCAGTCCGGCAGATGGCCGCTTCGAGTCCGCATTGAGTCTGCCTCAAGTACGCCTGAGTATGTGGGGGTCTTAAGTGCATTTATATTTTCAGAGAGGATCTTAAATGAAAACATAAATAGACAGAAAGTAGACACAGATGGACTCACATTTCTCTTTGCTTCCATTGTTGTTGTGATTGTGTTCACCATCTGATCTTGTTGTGCTGGGAAATTCATCTTCATCTTCCTCTACTATTGACAAGAGAACCAAAGTCATCTTAGCAATTTTTTTTTCCATTCCACTGTCACATGTAGTTTTAAGATATATTATTAGAGTTCAGCTGGTTTAGAAAGGGGTCTGTATTTTCCAGGCAGTAGATTTCAGATTAAACTATGTAAGATCAATAAAGAAATGTGGAGGAATGTGAAGCGGGTTTTGCTTGAGAGATTAAACAACCCACAAAACGTCCTGTAAGCAGATATTGATTTCACTTCTCCTCGAGCCTCATCGGGCCTCTCCTTCAGCTCTAACACTGCATGAAAAAAATAAAGAATCCAACATCTATAAATTCTTCCATTTGCTGCCAAACTAAAGTCTGACCCCTTTACACAGCTATACTTAGTACAGAAATAAAAAGGCTGAATTTACAACTAATTTACAAGTTTTAACAACATATCTAATGTTATAAATGCACAGAAGTATACTGAAACCATAAATTACTTCTATCTCTCTGAAATTCATCTTTGGAAACAGCATCGGCGCAGGAGTCGAAGTACTTCTGAAGGGTGTCCACTTGTCGGCACAGTATGTCCCTGAAGGTTTCCATTTCTGCCAACTTCTCACGCAACCTGTGACCCTTCTGGGCAGAGAGGAAGTCATGACCAAAAGGCATTCAAAGAACAGAAAAACATTTACAAAAGACATCAGAGGGTTATATTTGTTGTTTTAATTGAAATCAATGATCTGATGGTTGTTACACAAAGTAAGTTTTTAATACTAAATCCTAGTAGTCAACAGTTGTGTTGTACTTGCTTTGCAAGGCTTTACGAACACAGGTAAAAAAGATGCAAAATAGTCTGGTTTGTTTGTTAAATATATATCGTCATATTCTCAGACTATAATAACTTCACATCAGGAAAACGTTTTCAACTCAGGTATCTGGTGTATCTTTACCTTGAAGGAGGATGTGGATGTGGAAGACAAGGCACTAGCAGCTGAGGTGAGAGACAACATGGACCCATGACGTCTCAGACTTGTTTCTGAACCATATCCAGACTCGGCCTGCGATCCGAGCAAAGAGGTGGGAGGAGAGCATGAGAGGCCACGAAAAGAAGAAGCAGAGAGAAAAGTCTGATGGTCACTGAAATATATATTAAAATAAACAAAGGTTCTTGCATCACTGAGTAATGATTATCTTGGAAGAGATCAGGACCTGTACACCTACTCAGAAAAAAAAAAATCAAAATCTGACAACCATCCATGTCAACCAACCATCGTAAAAATGGCTTAAAGCCATTTTTACTGCAACCTTATGAAATCAAACAAACAGAGCACCTTGCATGTGTTCCGTGTCCCATTTTGTTTTCAATTTGATAGAAAATGAGAAACAACAGTCTCTCATTTTGGCTTAATCTTTGTAGTTTTCTACTTTTTAAACTGGTAAAAAATAGGGGTGTCCCGATCCGATATCAATATCGGATATYGGTCCGATATCAGCCAAAAAACGAGTATCGGATTTTATCGGACTGCATAAAAAATGTCCGATATCAGCGCTCCGATATTAGCAGTCCGTTCCAGCATTTCACTGACTCCGCTCCAGTGTTTCTATCCAGCAGCGCTTGGATCCTGCTTGTAGCGCTCACGTGGTCATAACAACAGCAGTGCTAACAAGTTAGCAAGAATGTCGGCAGCAGAACTTTTTATTTTCATCAAAAACAGAGTTGCAGCTAAGTGTAAAGTTGTCATGCACAAGTTTTCCGAGGGGAAACACAGAACCGTGAACGTTTTAAACCGGAGCGACAACTACTCTCCACCCTGGCAGCAGCTTTGCGGTTCAGCCTCGGTCCAGTGACCGCACACAGCCGCGCTGTTTCGGAACCTCCTCTCTGGTCGGGTCGGTGATTCTAAGCGGGCAGAAGCGAGGACAGCACGCTTGTTTTGACATCCGTGGATTAGCTCTTGATGGACAGAAGAAAGGAGAGCACAGCTTTTGTTTTGGAATATGAGCGACATGACGAGAGCAGTGATAAAATCTGCTCCCTGCAGGAGAGAGAGGCTGATCTCCACATGATGCTCAGACTATAGAAAGTGGAAATTTAGCACTAAGAAAGGTAGCTATCAATTTAAATAACTAATTCTTACTATTTATTTTTTGCTCTTGTTATTAGATTGATGTTTAATCTGTTTACACACTTGTTTGAGTGAAGATTAAGTGCAATGATCACATTGTTTTGGTTACAATCAGTAAAATTGGAGCTGTGGACTCTTAACTTTGAACAGACAATAATGTGGGGTTTTGTTTTGTCCCCACCTTCAGTTTTTTCCACCATAAAGCAGCACAAGGCTGACAGATGGTAAAAAAAATAACTGGAGTGATTTTGAATTATTTTACACTGTAAAAGTACATTTTGTTTTTATTATGTTATTTTTTCAGGGTATTGTAATTTATTTTATTTATTAAATTGTATAATGTTCTTCAGTGTAAAATGTATGTGATCCATTGGTTTAAAATAAATGGGTCAGTTTTTCTCATACCTACTCTTTTTCACTGTTTGATCTGATCAAGATTTTTCTAAGATTTTACATTACAAAATAGGTAAAAGTGTGTGACTTGCACTGTTATAGTAACGGGTCAATATCGGTATCGGACATTTCTCAAAGTTGTAATATCGGTATCGTATCGGAAGTGAAAAAGTGGTATCGGGACATCCCTAGTAAAAAATAAAAAACATAAAACAAACACCCTTAAAGTGCAACAAAAAAGTGTAATTTTGATTTATTAAAATAGCAAAACATAATGACAGTACAATTAAATGTTTGAATATCAGCCTCATGGCTAATAAGATATGACCTTTACAACATATCTTGCACCTAATATCAAATTAAAAGCACTCTATTTTACATAATTTTCTAAATTAATCCAAATTGCGTAGTAGTGCTTTGTTAAAAGACAATATACAAAAGCAGCAAAATGCTAGTTCATCCTACGTAAAGCAATAATTACCAATGGTTTTCTTTAATAAAATACTATTTTACTGAACAACCTTAAAAATAACAACACATTATTTCTGAGCTCCATAACCCTACCTGTCTGTTCTTTACCAAAATAATTATCTGAACTGATAGTTTTTTTTTTGTTTTGTCACTGTTGCTAAAAATGTTATGGAACAAAGTTGTGTCAAGTTTCTGGAGCCTAAAAGTGTGGAGTCAAGCAATGGGTTGTAAAACAAATCTTGGATCAGGCATTTGGGAGTGGCAGTGGGGTCATTCGTTCCATTAAACAGCCAACTTCTGACAGAGCCTACTAGTGCAAGCTCAGCGAAGTAACAATTTTATTACACAGTGTTAAGGGCATGCACACCCTGTCAGACACACCAACGCAAAAATTCTCCGTTATCCCACATGCAGCTGGTAACAGTTAAGAATTGTCAAGATTCGACATTATGGTTTCAAAATGCACGACTCCCATCAGCAATGATCAAAATCATTTACATTTGAACAACGTGGCGATAGGCTGTCTAACCCAACATATTCAGTGGAACTTATTTAAGGCTTTCTGAATACATGTCTTTGTGATTACAACACAAGACCAAGTTATTTCTGTTGACAAAGTGTAACGCAATGGAATTTCCTAGAGACCGAGTAAACCAAAGAGGGAGTCAGGTGACAATCTTGAGAGAAATCACAAAACATTCCTCAGCCACAGGCTCTCCCTTCACAGCAAAGCGACTAACTGGGAGGACTGACATAAAACACATTTATGGAGAGGGGAGGAAAGTGTTCAAAAGAAGACAAACAGAAAACACAAGATGTCTGTGTTATTGTGACTGCATGAACATTGGGAGATAAATTTAAGTTTAAAGTGATTAATGTCCTCCCAACTCGGCACTTTAAACACACGATTTCGTTGATAATTTCTGACAAAAACAGTGAAAAACAGAAGGTTTTTGCTGCAGATAACTAGAAACACAAATGGAAAAGCAACTATCAGAGCTGTGCCACTTAAATGTTACCTTTGAATTTAAAACATGGGTCAATGATTGTTGGTTTCAGAACAAATGTATCTCTTCAGTTTTATCGTTTTTATTTTTTATTWATTATTATTATTATTTTTTAACCTTTTTTGAACTGTTCAGCACTTTGTTGAAAGTGCTTTATAAACAAAGTTATTAATATAAAAATTAAATTCAGTTACCAAACATTTTTTGTTGTTTTTAAACTGCAGCTGTTTACACTGCTGTCGTCTTTATAGCTTTCCTTTACAGCTCCTGCTTCAGAAACTTATCTGAACTAATTTGGGCATGTAAGCCTTAAGGTGCTTAAGCTGCTGTGATCTGCCCAGATGGCTCAACAAATATTAACAAGTAAACATTAAAATGTGGTCCATTATGTTGTACAGGCGACAAGAGACATGTAGCAACTTTGTGAAGTATTTATTTGACCCTGTCTCTATTTTGGCTGCTTTCATCATGTACTTACAGCTCTCTGAATTAAATATCCTTATCTACAGTGAGCTATCTACATCAACATGCCAAGTCTTTTTAAAAAAAAAAAAAAACTTATTCAAATGTTTAGCATGTAGCTATGGATGGATGTCATTATCATATTAACCTAATTTTATACAATTATGTTAAAAAAGCTGAAAACCAAACCAATCATTCACTGCTCTCCTTGTTCATTACTTCCTTTCTCTAAAGACTACTACTTCAGAACAAACAAATATCTGTTTAAACACAAATATCTTTATTGTCATATTTTTACTTTGAAAATATTTGTAATAAAAACACGACTTTCAAGCAAAAAAAAAAAAAAAAAACAATTATAAATTTCTTTTGACCCTAAAATTCTAGGTTATATTTTTGAAATCACACAGCTCTGAAGCAATGAGGACAAATGAGAGACGATGGCAAACAGCACTATCTTTGTGCACCTGCTCATCCACATAAATCCATGCATACTGAACACCCACACACATACATGCACAAAAAGTTATCTTGTGGTGTTACCATTTAAAGGACATGCTGTGACAGCAGCAACCTGTGTGAGAACTCACATGTGCAGACTGCTGCTTGTGAAATCACCTCCTAGCATACAAACGTGCAGAAAAAAATCAAACAACTTTAAGCACATGCAGGAATTTAGTAGGGATGCATTTTCATTGGTGCCAGTTATGTCAAAACCTGCATGCAAATAAAACGGGATTAAATTTATGGGCAAGGTAAAAACATATTTACACAACCCATTCACATTAAACTTTTATCATAAAAACCTGTGACAGTGAACAGGCAGCATGCCAACACACTATAAGCCCACCATTCTGCCAATCCCACAGCCAAAGCAGAGCAGGACACTGCTGCAGTTCTGACGGTTTGCTGGCCCCAACATGGCCAGGCACTCCCCCACCACTCTGATCTGACAATGCAGAAGCTTTAATCCAGTTTTCCCGTTTCCCTGGGCACACCTCACTATGGAACAAGAAGGAAGAGGAGGTGAAGAAAAGGAACAAGACAAGCTTATCAAGTGAATGAAAACCGAGACACACGATGCAAAGACAGAGGGGGGGGGGGGAGTAATCTTTTGCTTCAAAGCACTTAAACGAGGAGCAGAAACTAGATGCTCTTTGAAGCAGAAGAAACAGAGTCAGGAAAAAGAGTCCTGTAATTCTTCAGCTGAGCGATGCAGTGTCTGCTTACAATCATATTGTCCGCTTTCACATAAAAACTTACATGCACTCCACTCGTCCTATACCCATACATCAAGAGAGCACATACCCTGATATGTGAAACCATTTCATTGCGTCTGTGTTTCTGTCCAGCATCCATCACCGAGCAAGCATCCGTGACTGTGTGCGGTTGCATTGAGGGGAGCGAGAGTGGAGCAAAAGAGATGTGTGCATGCATGGACGGATGCATTAGAGAGAAGATGAGCGCTGTCTGGAGCCGTTCGTGTAATAAACCAATGAAAGACTGGTAAGGTGGGCGAGTGAAGCAGCCTACTGTATATTATGACACAGCAAAAGAGAGAGACTGGAGTTTAAGAGTGGGAGGCAGGGAGCAATATTTGTCTGGATTCTATACTTTACAAATCTTTCTGTGTGACTTTTTGCTTCCCCATCTAACTTTAACTTGCTGGCATCTCCCTGATCGGGGCTAACACTGTTCAATCTTTTCAGTGGAAAGTGATAAAACTCCATAATTTTTCAAGTACTTTTACCCATCTTCTCAAATACCAATACTCTAATATTTCTAAGCAAGTGTTTCATCAGTTTGTTGAAGATTTTTTGTTCATTTGTTGCTTTGAAAAAAAAAAATCATGCAATATTGATAAAGAGCAGTCCTTAACATCAACACATTTAGCAGCACTTTTCTCACCACCAACACAAACACGCCCACATATAAAAACACAAATGAACTTGCACACAAATGTTTTTTCCCAAAGCAACCTAATGTTGTAATACTTGTATGGAAATGGAAAATGTCTACAATTGCAAAACTGCACCTAATGGGTTTTTAAAGCTGTACTAATGACTTGTTCAACCCCCACATGGATCTAGCAATTCACATGAGTGAAAAGGAAGAATGAAAACGAAAGCCAACAAAAGTGACCAATATCGATGACAACTACCATTATATTGATTTGATTTATTGATTTAACAGGAAAAGATTACTAAAAATCAAGCCTGACTCAGCATAATTGCTGTTTTACAGTAGGTTTCTGTTCTGCAGCACATAAAACACTCAGAAATACAACATCACAATCACATCATTATACACCATAGACACAAAGACAAACAAGCATATCAAATTTCAGGAAGGCAGCATTTGCAAAATACGACGTCTAAATATGAGCACAACAAAAAGTGTCCAGCAGATGGCAGACAAGATTCTTCTTAAAAGGGCTGTAGTTTTGAAATGGACTTTATGTTTTGAGGAATGTCATTCCATGCTTTAGTATAAACATAGAAGAAAGACCTCTGGCCGTAACAGTTTTTAAAAGTTGGTAATATCAGTTGTCCTTTTGTAAACAGATCTAGTTGAATGACCACTTCCAGAATTTGATTTGGGCAGCAATGCACAGAGAGTTCCATAATTGGCACCTTGGAAGATCTGAAAATATAAATTAATACCACTATACAAAACATAATTCTGAAAAGTCAAGGCATCAAACGATGAAAGAACTATACAATGATGAGTCTGATGAGTCCAACCAGGAAGTTTTTTATGAATTTTGTAAGKCCTGTTGTAGAGCCTAACTATGGGTTCTAAGATTTCATTTGTTGTAAGAGACCAAGCAGGTAAACAGTACGACATGGTTGAGAGTATAATGGCATGAAGATAGATATTTGAAACAGAAGATGTCAGATTGGATCTAATATTTGAATAAAAATATAATTTCTGTTTCAAATTTGTGGTTAAGACTTGTACATGATCATGATAAGTCAAATGAGAATCCAAAGTAATCCCAAGATATTTGTAAGTAGTGACAATATCAAGGGGTTCAATATTCAATATCATGACTTGATGATTAAAGGGTGTTTTGTGTGTAATTTACTGCAACATGATATTTTTAACATTAGGAATTTCAAAAATAAAACAAAGAAATTCATGTAAGTAGTAAAAAAGGTGTGCTTCAATAAAGTAACAGACAAGGTAGACAACTCGCACGATGTAAATCCTTCTTTGACCATTTGGGAGCAGCACAAACACACTACCTACATGAACTCCACATTAACATTTGAGGTTGAGTCACGATTCAGGCACAACCCTGAAACATGTTCACACAATTGCTAATGGACCAGAGACATGCAGGTGCACACAAAATACTAACAACATTTAGCAGCACTAAAGGAACAGAAAAAAAAAGCAATCTACAGCTTCATTTCAGTAGAGAATCTGAACAATTAACAGGAGAGCAATTATTTTTCAATTTGGAGAATTAATCACTAGTCTCTTAACAATACTGCTCGTTAAGTTGCAAACAAAACACTGGGGAACAAAAACTATTAAACAGGTACAAACAAAAAACTATTAGGCAGCTTGTCAGTGAGTTTGTGCATAATATATCTGTGTACGACAGGTGGATTCCAGTTCAGTGATATATAGTACTATTAATCCTAGAAGAGCCCTATTAGTATGGTWTATTAAAGAAACTAAATAAGATTTTAAAACTGTATAGAAAAGAGAGAAAAAATAAACTAATGCAGGCATGATATTTAGCATTTCTCAAGTCAACCTGGCTGCAGACGTGACGTCTGATTCTTTACCACCAACACTGGATCTCCATATTCTATTTTATTTTCTATTTTCTTTGGTTAAACAAATAAATATTTGTTGGGAAGTTTAAAATATTACCTACAGAGGAGGAGTGAAACTGTAAATATCTCAAAATATAGTGCATATCAAAAAAATTGGATATATTTATGAAAATATCTTCAAAAAATGCTGTACCTTTTTATTACACTTGCAGTGGTTCTGAAATCTTATTTGATATTTTTCATATTTAAATTTTATTTTTTCCATATATAAAATTGGGTTGTGATGGACAATTGTAGGGGAAATACAATAGAAACTCTACACATAATTGTTACAAATGGCCCGTTTATAATCACAAGTGGTAAACCATATGGCAAATAATTAATGTGATCTTCACGTGTGATACTGTGAGAAAACATGGTGCATAACATGTAATTATAGCCAAACGAACCCTTGGCAAAAGGGGTGCACCAATAAATTGGCACAGATTTCCCTAATTTTGGGAAATTGGCCGATCCTTACATGGGACTCTGATCTTATCCACAGATCTTGTATACCTTCACAAAGGTCTGAAAGTCAGCCCCCATCCCCTTTTGGTTTGCAGTGAGCCTCAAGTCCACTCCAAACAAATTCATATTGTTTCAAGTGTATATTTATCAATGTTTTTCAATACAATAAAATTGCAACATATTGTGACCTTATAACACTCAACAGTGTCAGTTCTAAAAGAGAATCAAACAGGGTTCATGCAGGTTTCAGTAAATGAAATTTAAGATCTTTTAAAAGACCTTTTAATACCATTAGGAATGACATTTAAGACCAAAACCGACACATTAACAAAAACATTCAAATGGTCCCAGAAATTTTAACATAGAAACCTTTTATTGCTATCAATTTAGCTATTAAAGAATATATAATTTTAATACAAGAACATTAAATTATTTTAATGAAACTGTCATTTCTATGAGACCTTCATATCGACTGCTGTGAACTGCTTCCAACTAAATGCAAGTCACATTGAAAACACACTTTCCCAAGTTTAAATGACAAGCAGTGGACATGACTGAACTTCTTTGTTTTTTGGGTGGATGAACAAGCCGTCGTATTCGGGGGGTTAGAGTGGCAAAGAGGTTGTAAACATGGAAGTAAATTGTGCCATTTTTTTGCCTGCAGTTATCACGGATTTGTAGTTTCACCATGAACCAAGACCGGTAGCAAACTTAGCACGTCATGAAGACAGATCGCGTCGACCTCTGATTATGACGTTTTACTCTGTTTATTTATGCAGCCAACACTTCTCAGGAATGATCAAAAGTAAAAAAATTAAGACTTGACAAAATTAAATTTAGTCTTTTTGTTATTAGTCTTTAAAACTGGGTGTTTTAAAGACTTAAGCCTAAAATTTKGACTTTCAAATGTTAGACTTTTTTAGACCCTGCATGAACCATGATCATATCAACCAAAAGTGGAATCGGCAGGTCAGGCTTTTTAGTGATTCAATGGAAAACTGCAATGGGCGCACCCCTACTTGACACAGAGGCTTGTCAAAGCCAGACTTCTGAAAACACCTCTTTCTCACAGAAAAAAGATAAAACTAAAAACTCTGAAAACATAATCAATCTGCTTTACACACTCATCGCAGAAGCTGTACGGCATTAAGAGAAGTCCTTTCGCAGGGAGCAGTGGCTTTTTTTTTAGTGAAGGGGGATACCACCTTACACCTCGCTCAGATTCTTCCCATTCCCAGAGTACCAAACTCTGTATGTGTGTTGAAATGATTGAGCTGCCACGCCCTATTTCCAGAACAAAAAGTACAAAAGCCCATATCTGTTGTGTGTGTGTGTGTGTGGGGGGGGGGGGGGGGGGGGGGGGGTAATGACCACTAGTTCAACTTGAACACTAAAAGTATGTGAAAAATGCAGCCAAACTGATGAAAGTGATTCTAAGGTTGATGGTTCTTGCAATGTGGAAAACAAACTCAGACGTTAATAATGGAAATTACTGTAAAACAGAATTAATCAGTTAATAAGTGACTCTTTCATAATCTGTGTTATATTTTACATTTGATATTCACAATAAAAACTATTTCGGCTGCTACAGGATCCTGTAGAATCATGTTTTGTAGCTGGTTGTGATGGGAGAATGGGGCAGAACGTAAACAGAGCCGAGGCAAAAAATGTTTGATGCGGGTGTCCAGAAATTATAATATGTAACATTATACAATAATGTAAAATGTTTTAATAATACCCAAACAATATCCATGAACAACTTTTTAGTAAGTTTTGTCACACAAGATTGACTAACGCCAAGAAAATGTGTGATGATCTAACTGTTTTATGAAAACAAAGAGGAGTGAGCTAATGTTAGCTTAAGTGATAAAATGAGTCAAGATGTCTAAGCGTCCCTCAAACAAGCTGGATTCAAGCAATGAGTGACTGTAATCTCTAACTTCCAGTAGTAATTCAATACAACAAAATCTTAATAAAACATTCACAGATAAGTAAAAAAAACCATAAATCTATGAAACTACAACAAAAAAAAAATACTCACCTTATGCAGTTCTATTGATTCGATCCACTGAAGTCTGTGCTCAGGATCCTCTGCTCTGAGGTACCAAACACTGTCGTTAACGCTGACGTCAAAACGACACTCATCAAACTCATGAGGCTGCACAAAAAGAGAAGACAGTGCTGGTTATTTATCCAGCAGAAAAGCAAGCAAAAGCAAAACAAACACCTACGACCTATCCAAACATTATAACCCCAAAGCTCAACGTAAACTTTTCAATGAAACAACAAAATTATTGCGGTGCAGGAGCAAAACACTGTTCCAAGAGCTCTTTGTCTTTAACACTCATTGAAAAGGAATGACACATTCTAGAAACACGTGGACTCAGTCACAGAAAACCATATGTCACACAATAAACAGAAACTTTAATTGAAAACTGATGTTTTGTGTCTGCTGTCCCACCCCTAAATGACTATGAGTAGTGTGAAAACACAAAACACGGAGCCTGTTGCAGGGTTTTCATGACCTTCCCTTCCACTCTTGGGAGGAATCCTTCAACTRTTACACTCCCCCACTCTACAATGAACCCCACCCAGCTCCACTCGCCGACCACCTCAGGCATTTGAACACGTGCAAACAAAGAATTCACTCGTTTCCTCTCAGACTGGAATTTGCTCACTGCACTCAGCTGACAAGTCGTGTAAAGACTCACAAAACGAAACAACACAGCTATCCGGAGTTGCCCAGGTTTTTTAGGCAGAGTTCCTCTTCAGGCATACATCTGCTTCGTCAGCTGACCTAACCATACGCTGTCCAAGTTTAATTGTATTTGCTGAATTACGCTCATGTGCCTGGATAACTCTGTGCAACATGTTCCACTTGCGCACCGCTAGTGCATTTCACAAGCTGAATTTGGTAAACAGTTTTCCTTGATTCTAAAAGCTTTTCTTTTAGAGGCTGGTGTGTCAATGAAAAAAGAACTTTAACAAAAGAAATGGTTAAGATCCGAGTGAATTCAGCAATGATAGTTACTGGTTGGAGAACTGTATTATCTGTCTTACTGTGCTGTATCAGACACGGCTCATAAACCTGTGCTTTGCAATCAAGTTTATGGCTCGTTCATGCAGACTGGAACATTTTCCTGCCCACTGCTGCACTGGCTTCTTTTTTATGTGCAAGACTGAAATCTYCAATACAAGCACAGAAGAGGTTTGTAAATTTGTGTCAGAAAAATTGCAATCTTTTTTTTTCTGTTCTGCACTCCTAAATCTTCTGAAATTAAATTGTCTTTCATATTAAGATACAGCAAAACAGTAAGAAGCAGCTGTACAGTTTATGCCACTCTGATTACAACAAATAACATGTAACAAAACTGGGCATGCCTACTTAGGTCGCTAAAATGCAGTAAGAAAACTGATGTTGCTGGGAGCTTTACTGCTGTCAGCGCTTGCCAGTATTTGACAACTTGACTGCACTGTATGCTTTAATTCAACAGTTTTTTTGTTTTATCAAGTTGGAGAGTAACAAGATAGTGTTTCAAAAACATGCACAAGTCACAGTGAAACCATTTGTTTGTCCCATGGACTTGGTGGCTCAAAGAGGAGTCAATGTTTAACCACAGTGAAAAATTTCAACACATAACGCACAGAATCATTTCCGTCGCTGCAGCAGCATATGATTCAGTTTAGAATGCATAGATTTCAGGTTTCAAATTATGCGTCACAGAACGGCCTGAGGATATTCTCAAACAATCACAAAAAAATAAAATAAAAAATAAATAAACTAAAATATCTAACTGATAACTTCCAGGTAGAAATTAGTTGCTAACTTTAAAGTGTAATTTGACACGCATTTTATTTTTGATCATGATTGTTTCATTTGTGTGTGTGTGTGTGTGTGTGTGTGTGTGTGTGTGTGTGTGTGTGTGTGTGTGTGTGTGTGTGTGTGT